TTCTCCGTTGATCGGAATAGCTTCTGAATCATCTAAAACTATAGACAGCATAAGTTTTGGATAGAATAATGTTTACTTACTAAACAAAGTTTTTTTTATATAAAACCAATCTCCATTATGAAATACTGAACATAAATTTAGTAGGCATATTCAATACCTACACCCATCTGTGTAGCCCCAAAAACAAAGAAATTGAAAAAATCCCATCTTCCTTCCCTTCACGTGAACAGGATGGCACAGCAATCTGAACACATGCTCAAGGGAAGGAAAGGTACACGGAACCAAAAAATGTGCCACATTTAAAAAAAGTGGTAGGTTAAAACTGTCATGAGAAAAGGTGTCCCATCGAAATGCCTGATAGTAAACGAAACTAGAACTGCATGTAAGCCAAAGGCTAACTAATACCCCCACTCCTATATAAACCAAAACAGTAAGCTAAAGACTTACTAAGGCAAAGCATTGTAAGGCAATCCACAGTCTCCCACCAGTAAAGATTTCTTTATTGACTGAGCTGTACACTTATTTAAGTATATAGGTCACTGACAGACTTCCTGTAATCCCTCTCAATGCCAAAACATACTTGCAAACCAAATCTTGTTTGCCCAGATGAACGAGTTTTGCTGAAATCTTCAGAGTAGTTAAGGAAGAGATGTCAGGACAAAAATTTGTAACAAAGGGCCATTACTCCTTAAAAAGGGTTGAAAAGAAAAAATACTACCGTAATTCACGACATCAGGGGTTAATTACCATATCTATAAACTTTCATTTAAATCGGACCAGAAGTTATAAAGGCAGTACATTGTACAATATATCCATGTTTGAGAATCGAATAAGATGTGATCTAAGATGATGGTGGAGTTAACCCTTTTCAGTTTGAGCCACAATTAAACTCCAATTCATTGGAACGATGACAAAGTGCAAAGGCAAATATCTCTTGAGCTAATTTGTTTTGATGTTTTCCTAGTTCACGTTGTTGCCTCATATCAAATCGGATTAGGACTTTACAATTGTATATTCTTGCATTGGTATATTGTTTTCTAGTGTACTAAATATATTAAAAAAAAATATATCCATGTTTTTACTTCTCAAGTTTCTTAACACCATTTAGCATACCTTCAAAGAAACACTGGGATATGTTTAATCCTTTCACTAGGCTGTCAAACCAATCCCTTTCATCGTCCAGGGTATCCAACACTTGATCTCCCTTACAATGGAAGTACGGCGGGATATCGGGACGCATCATGGTGTTTTGTGCACATCGAGATATATTGCGTCCAATGCTGCAATGTTAGCAATATCATTTCATATCAATATTATTTCTCACTTATAAAACACTAAAAAACAAATCCATATCGGTCTCAATTACTGCAACAACATTGAAAAAAATAAAGAACATTGTATGACTTACATATTTTAGTGGTAGTCCTATTTTAGCAATTGTTACCCTTGAAAGTTGCCCTTTACTATGATTAAGCAGATGTTATGAGGGCGCCAATTCCACAATGTGCTTACTGTTATGATTTGATAATGCACTAGAAATTGACTATGTACCAATAAGTACTCATGTCAAATTTTCCGATGTTATTTTTCTCACTCATGCTGGATATTCAGTCACACAACAGTCATTTGATAAGAGACTTATATAAGCTTTAATTTAACGTTAAAACTCTGACTGAATTCAAGCTGCGGTAGTCAGGGGGGAATTAAGCTTATATCCCACTTTGAGCATATATATCGGCATGTTGACAAGTTTACAGATTTCATTTTATTCTAAGTCTATTATGGGCCAAATATATTTGTGCAAAAGAATAAACAGGATAAAAAGTTTGAAAATAATACAGATGGTATACCTCAGATAAAACATTTTTCAAAGGGGCAAGTTCAAAAATCAAGTATAGGCCACAGTGACATTTTTGTACTTGACACTCCACCATCCCAAGATGTACTTGCATACCAAATCTAGTTACTGTAGGTGAAATAATTTAGAAAATATGGCTAATTTCCGTTAAAATTAGTATTACTCATATATCAATGGATGGATTTATTAAATAATTGCAGGCGCACAAAAAATTACATCAGTGAAGTTTCATGAATTTCGGCTAAAACTAAAGACAAAAGGAAAACTACAAATGGAATTTGAAATAAAAGTATGTCAAGTTTAATTTCTTAAGAAACAGCAATAACAAACTTACACTGTCAAAATGAAAGATAGCTGCCTGTAGGAATTTTCATATGAAGGGAGGTGCTGCATTCAGTGATGTTTGTTAGAAATTCATGGTAATAATTGAAGTTTAAGTATATACTTAAATTATGTTTACGAAACAACATTCATACAAAGCTCCTAATCTTCATTTTCTTTGTTAGTAAGAGTTAAGTCACAACACACTCTGATACTTTCTGGTTTTCCCAATCATATCTACAGTGGGGGTATTTTTGAAAGACCAATACAAGGTACCATCATTGGTTTAGAGTTTCTGTCCAGTCATGCAGCATTCTGCAACAAAAACTTAACATTACATGTCCAGCCTCATCACTTCGGTGTAACTCAGCTCCTGCCCCCATTGGAAGGCAGGGGGATCTGTAGCATGTATACACAGGGCTTGTTCAACAGCCCAGCTGCTTCCTGGCACCCAAATTAATGGATACACTTGAATAATATTCTATTCCACAGTCGATATAGGTTTTGTTTAATTAGAATATACTGATGTGATTCTAAAAGGAAATGTACTTGATTTGTATATATTTTTGACCAAACAAGTTACACAAGTTCAATAATGGATTGCAAAGCTATCACACCAGCCAATGAGAGACAACAATGTTTGACTATACCTGCATCCAATTGCATCTATCCCAGCATCACTGCCAAAAAGGACGGGCATAACCGAGGTGATCTCAGGGGTACCCAAACACTGGGACAACAGCCAAGGTTTCAGATGTGTTTTACTGTTACAGAAGTCTTGATCATCCATCCAAAATCCAGGTTGAGCTGTAACAACAAACATTATTGATCATGGTCTAGCTGACACAGTCAGTAACTGTGTCATCTGGAACACTGACAGGTCATCAAGGGTTCCTCCGTAAGGGCTGGCTGACCATACCCCTGTGGTCTACTCTTAGTATGTCAAATTTGAAACACTACTCTTTTGGATTTGAGATAAGGACCTTACACCCAGGGTCTTCTTTATTGCCAGTGACCTTGGTGTTTCCATTAGAAACATTTTAAACCCCTATTACATATCTACATATAACAGTGTATCATATTGTCAAATTTCAGAATGATTAGTCTTTTGCATCCCATGGTCTCTAATTTAGAAACAGTAACCTTGACCTTTCACATTTTTTAAACCAATAATTGCAATTCTGTTTATCACAGTGTATTGCTTTGTAAAATTTCAGATTGATTCAGAATATCTCCAGACAAGATTTTTAAAGAATTTAGCATAACTCTGAAATGAAAGCACAACTTCATGTGGTATAGTTCATATGAGGAAAGTTTTATTGAAATCAGAGATGTACGTACTATAAGAGTGAGTGCTAGTTTAAATAGAACAAGAGTATTGCATGGCGGAACAATATTTCTTGCATATAAGACAGAGATATCCGCATTTCCGGCGGTGCTGGATAATTCTATCCGACCCGTGGGTCTGGAACACTTACACGCACAGAATGGCAGGATAATTCTAGTGACCTTTCGGAGTCACGCTATTGTTCATGACCTCATTTTATGACGTATTGGGGTCAGTCAGAGTCATTGACTTCATTAACAATTTCCTCCGTGCTTCATATGCAAATGAGAAATGTGCGGACAGTTTACAACTTTACTAGAAGAGCAGCAGTTTTTACAAGTTTTAGGTAATAAGTAAGAAATAGAATCCATCCCTGATGTGAGGTATGGATAAGGTCATTCAAACCCTCGGGATACAATATTAAGCAGAAGACCCTTGGCAAAGCCTTGGGGCTCCTGCTCAATATTTTATCCCTTGGGTTTGAATAACTTTATCCATACCTCACATCAGGAATGGATTCTATTAATCCCTGTTTCATGACAATCTGACATACTAAAATCATTTTGAAGCATTTTTGTATATTAATGTATGAAACTAAGCAATAGTTGTTCTGCATTACTGATATAAGTTGACAACTATTTCTGTATACTGTACTTGACCAACTATACTGTACTTGACCAACTTAAACTGAAGGAATATATACATTTCATATATATACTATCCTTCGTGACCTAAAAAAATGCTTTTCATAGGAATTGTCTCCCTTTGTATATATTTCAAATCATGAAAATAGAAGTTGAAATCGACCCTTTCTGCCAAGCGTTGATTAACCTTGCACCTATAAAACCAAAGATATTTCTATTAATTATTACCCTGCTAATTACCCGCAGATTAGTCAAAGTGTAAATATTGACCAACTTATTTCTGTCATATTTGACAAAGTTATTGCAGGAAACCGTGAACAAATCACAGCACAGTACTGTATACTGAGAAACTTTCGCCCAGTCAAACATATGCTCTTTACATGTTAAATCTATATTTCCCTAGTGTAAATTTTGGAATTTTGCCCTTCAAACGTGGTTTCTATATGCATGTAGGGTAAACAGTGTAACTATATACGCTGTCATGATAAATTCGCCCGTATTGCAGAGAGTGAAAAAGGCTAAACTAAACTGCAGCAAACATTTCCCCGTTGCTAATTAGGGAATTTTCCTCAACTTCGAACTTAGCCTCAGTCTTTGTATAATGCACATGCATACCCAGTTTCATCAAAATTGAATGGTATTTTACTCATTCACCCCTGAAGATATATTTGAACTCTTCCAATTCAAAAGTTGGAATAGTTCATTATGAATGTTCAGGGTTGAATGAGTTAAGTAAGTTATCTTGCGGAAACCAAAGTGTGAAAGGAAGGACACTCCACATAACATTAAGATGTCCTATCAAACTTGATGGGCATATAATAATAATAATCAGACAGGGATTATCGAATGTTAATAATATTACGTTGGGTCAGGAGTTCAAAAACAAATGCTTTACATTATGGCTGTAAATGTTTACCTGCGCATGTGTTGAGGGTTGTGTTCATCAGAGTTGCATTTATTCCTATCATGCTTGTGAAGTACAATAGTGTCTTCACAGCAGAGCCTTTGGAACAGTAGTCTTGATTCTGGTAGTCATTTATGGTCGAGTTCAAACAAGAGAAGGCACTACTGAGGAGGCTGAAATACAAATACCAACGTTAGTACAGTTCTGTAGTGTATATGAAAAATTATTCCTTTTAATTTTTATTATATATTTAGCTATATATATAGCTGCAAATTAAGATAAAAGAAAAACAGACTGTTTTTGTAATGACTTTCTATAATCACTATATAAACAAGAGTCATCTGAGGATGTCAACCCCTCCCCCTACCCTGGCATGCATAATACGCCCGTCTGACCATATCCAATGATTTTATGTTTGATAAATTAAATCCATATTGTCCTTCTTAGACCCTACATGAACTTCCATGCCAAAAGCTTTAACCAAGAAATTGTGCAAGAAAAGTGAAGTCCCAAACACGTCCAAAATTTCCATAATTGGGCATTTTTTCCCCAAATTAAATCCATATTGTCCTTCTTAGATTCTACATGAACACATTCATGCCAAAAATTAGGACAATAACACATGATCTGACTGAACTGTACACCACTGAAGAAACTTGAACCAAAACTTTAGCCTAGAAATTGCGCGAGAAAAGTTAAGTCCCAAACCCGTCCTAAATTTCCAAAAATAGGAATTGTTTTCCCAAATTAAATCCATATTGTCCTTCTTAGACCCCACATGAACATTCATGCCAAACCAAAAATTAGGACAATAACACATGATCTAACTGAACTGTACGCCACTGAAGAAACTTGAACCAAAACTTCAGCCTGTGAATAGATTTTCAATACACCTCTAGCTAATTTATCCCAATTTTGAAAAAGTGCATGATTGGTTTTATGTTGTTTATCGTCCTAATAACAGCTAAGGTCATTTAAGAAAATACGGTGCGATAAAGTAGTTTAGACTTCACTGCGGATCAGGAGTCAGGAGGGATGCAGGGGTCGTGGTGTGTACCTTCACTTAACCAGTACCAGAATATTTTTGCAGGCCCTAAACATAGACATGTTAACTGAAAATTAACTTTTCTGACAAACCCAGGGATCCAATTGTCTTCCTCTCTCAGTCCAGCAAGTCGATTTATCACCCTCACTTGAAACATGATTTAAGTGAAAAGTTTTCTACTCGAAATAGCATTGATTTTATAGACCAAATAAAATAAATGCATCACAGGAAAAACATGTTATTAAAATGTATTTCTGAAAACTGCTAAATTACCATAGCAATATCAATACATAATTTTGAAACTATATAAATACGATTGCTAGATTCCAAAATATTTTGGGCGTCTTAAATTGTATGAAAACCTACATATGTTGCGGATTCAGAATAAATGTTGGCTCTTGGTAAAAAATAAATAGATGCTGGAATATGTCTGATATTTACCATGATTTCAGTGGACATTTTTAAGAAAGTTAAATATAAACTTAAGGTGGATAAAACAATTATTATCAACACAATTAAACAAATTTCTCAGTTCACTCACCTACAGGTCTCATCATTTACTTTTGTCAACAATGTTTGTACTTTAGGAAGGTAATTGAAACTGCCCAAAGCATACTGTAATGATGTCACTTGTGAAGATCCATTGAAACAGCTTGTAAACAATGGTGTCAAAAATTCCGGCTCAGAACATACATCTCTGGGTTCTGGAAGAATAATTGTAAAGTTACCCGAGTGTCTGTTGCGGTAAAGAACATACTTTCTTCCATGCATGCTAGTTCCAATTGAGTATACTAGAACAACCCATAGATAAAAANCAGAGTCATTCTATCGAAAAAAATATTTGAACGTCTTTCATCCCAGCATGTCCATGGCCAAATATCAAAACATTATCCCTTTTTTGGGTATCTAATTTTTTTGTTTGAAGCTTTTAGAAGTTGGTCAAGGTCATGCATTTAGACAATTCTGATAGTCCTTCATCCAAACATGCTACTGACGTTTAAAGATAGATATTTGACTCCAGACGGAAGGACAAACGAACAACAGACACAGCACACTCATGAATAGTTCAAATTACCTGTATCATTATATCTATCGCACTTGGTAACATTCACATGTGGATATATAACATTTTTCCAGTGTTGTCCTTCCTTCCATGCTTGAGCTATCTGTTTCTCAGTGCACATCTCATCATGGGTAACATACATATAGGGTTGGTGAACACACTGCTTGAAAGACTTGAATGACCTACAAAAACAACCGTTTCAGTCAGACTTATTTGCAGGTAGAAAAGAAAGCACTTCATAAACAATAATCAAGTGTACAATGAAAGCGGAACATAATAAGCCCATTCTACATTGAATGAGCAGTTGATAAAGGGTCATAACTCCCTACATTACGTTTGGACAATGGTGGTTATCGCACTTGTCCGAGCTATTATGGTAATGCTATGAAGTTTGAATTAAATCCATTGAAAACTACTCGAGATATCAAGCGAACACTGTTTTAGCAAATGAATAAAGGATCATTACTCCTTAAACTATGGTCTGATAATTGCAATAATCGAACTTGTCCGAGCTAATCATGTAAATGAACCTCCCTATGCAGTTTCAACTAATCCGTTGAAATCCCTGTTCTTATCAGGATAAGCCCTACCAAGCAGAATTATATTTTCAGCAATGGTAACCTTGATCTCTAGCAGACCAAAATTCTTACTGTTCTTTGCATTTACCATGTTTCAACATTGTATGATCAATCGTTCTCAAGCTATCATCCGGACAAGCACTCTATGTTCTGACGGACAGACACGTCACATAACGACCATATCCCCAATTTATTTACAGAGATGAAAATCAAACACAAGATAATGTTAAACTCACCAGCACTCATCTGTGGCATCACTCCAATTCCAAAGATACGGAACATGTAGGCACTGTGATACAAGCTTCAACATCAGTTTATTTGGGTGATTACAAACAGATCCATTCAGCTTCTCAACTATAAGTAAACAAACAAGACTTTTTGTTTCCCTTTATAACATATATGAAATTTACTGGGTCAGGATGAAATTTTCGTTTAATCAAACTATCAGTTTACTATATAGGCCATCAACTAAAGACCTTTCCTTTCATGAGCAGAATTTGATTCTAGAAATCTGCATCTCATTTAGATTTTTGAAAATGTATTCAGTTTACTCCCTTTATGCTCTCACTATGGGCTCCTGGATGGTTGGAGCCATATAATTTACAAACTTCGTTTGATGTTGGCCATTGACACCCCAATTTTTCCCCAGTCTTCAGATCAGGGAAACTAATAAATGTTCACCAGATTGATAATGATATGAATCATAATACCAGTTTCTTATGATTTTCAGTTGTGTACATTTATATATTGTAAATCAACTTTGGTAAACAAAGGACAACTGTTTATAAAGTAAATAATTAAGTACAGAAAATAACTTTTACACTACAAACATTTTTCAATTTTCTGTCTTTTAGAAGAAATATTTACCTGTCCCGTTACATTTCCCCAGTAAATTTAGGTCAACCTTTGATCCAGTATATTGCATCGAACGTGTAGCAGCCAACTTCCCAGCCAATCTGAGATTACTAATATCACATTTCTCTCCCTGTTTGTCCAAATGTGTCAGGATGCATCCAAGTTCCATCTCATACACACTGAAAGTATTAAGATAAAGCCATTTGACCTCCAGGTAAAGGTAACTACTGCACAAGCTAAAATCGTGAAGTGTTCCATTGAAAGGATTATT